TCCTGGCATCGCTACTAGGAGCAAGGATGCTACTAGGGGCTCCTGGCCGTACTACTAGTAACAAGATGTAACAAGGACGCTACGAACGGAGCTTGAGGCGATGAGCGGAAGAAATGACTCAGCGGAGGGCCGCAGTCTCTCAGTTGCTGTCCGGGCGTCTTCGCGTGGCAGGTTGGCGCCAGCCCTTTCCGCATCACCGGCGCGGGACCCATTTGACCTGTGGCGAAGCGTAGAAAAGGCACCAGTGCAGGAGACCTCTTCCAATGCTAGGCCTTCCCGTTTTTCAGGTTGCGACTGGTTGATGTGGTTGATGTGATCCTCACATGTCCTCAATCTGCTTCAGTTCGTGCGCAGTTCGACTCAAGTAAGATTTGCCGGCTGGCCGAATTTGGTCCTACTTGCCGGCCGTCCCTTGGGATGGCTTGCGGAGGATCAACGTCATCCTGGAACTGAAAGAAGGCCAAATGAGCCAAAGATATCGATGTCCAACAGCCGCCAGCAAATCTGTAATTCCTTGGTTCCCTACAAAACATTGCCAGTTTGGCAGATTCGTTCCTTTTCGTGTCCTTCTCAACTTTGCGTCCAAGGAAACGAGAGCCGGGCGGAGACGAGCAAGAGGATTCTGGCAGGCATCCATTCCGTTGTTTTTTCTTTCGTTCGACGCGGAAATGCCCATCCCAATCCAGGGGCACTGGATTGAAAGGGCTTTCTCGCTTTTCCAGTGTCTTCGTGAGAATGTGGATGGCTGTATGACGTAGTTTTCGCTTCCCTCACGACTGCAACCCAGATCCCTTAAAGGCTGGCATTTGGACGGCCAGGTGAAACGGTGCGCATGTCCAAACGAAGCCCTGGGTGACACGGTCGCGCAGGCAGCTACGACACCTCCCGGTGCGGGTGGATCAAGTGCTCCGATCAAGCAAAGGAGTCGCCATGCGTTTTGCACGGCGCTCCGACCTGTTTTGCCATCCAAAAACGGAGACTATACCATCATTGTCGCCGAGCGCACACTGCCGATTTGGAAAGCAATGCTTGGTTCTTGCTGGGATCGCATCTGAGATGATTTGCTTTCAAAAGTCAGTCACAAACAAGCCTCGTGAAATACTCAGAATGCAGAAGCAACACTCAGTTTGTCGGTTTGGCATGAGAGGACCTGATTGGCAAGCTGCTGACTGTGGAGGACATCCACCTTGTGAGCACGCAGCTTGTTATTTGTGCGTTACCCTTTTTTCAAACTTGAGAATCGCAGAAATAGCCAATATATATTATAAACATATGAGAACATAGGAAATATGAGACTGACTAAGGTTGGAGGAGCATAGTTTGCTAGCTCTTGGCCAAACCATCCAATAAGATATCCAAAGCAACTAATGGCATCGTTTCTCTGAGCCAAAGAAGTACTGCAGACCTGACAGCAAACTGCTTGTTGCGGTGAAGCAGGAGTCTAGGCGCATAGCAGTGCGGGATACCTTGCTCCAGCCGTGGATGTTGCGACTCGGGCAGCCTATCAGAGAGAGAGAGAGAGATTGCAAAAATAAGCAAAAATTAGGTTAATTAGGTGTTCAGAAAGCAACATGTTACTTAGGTTTGGTTGAAAAAAGAAAAAGCACATATCTGTTTGAATCGCTAATTGGTGATGCAGAAATTTACCCAAACTACAGGGATGAGACTGGGCACGTGAACCAAGCGCGAACAAACAGCTGCTGTTTGAGGCCAGCTTCAACCGTCTCAGTGGCAACCCCTATGGCGGTACTTCCATACCAGAGGCTCGCTTCGCGTGGCGATCGCATGGCGATCCACGGTCGACTGTGCGAACAAACGTTGTGCAGCAACATTGGATTGCGGCATGCCGGTGTTCTTTGTTTCTTGCGTACCCACAAAAAGTATACTCATTGTTTGGCAGCACTCGGAAGTACAGGTTGTAGATTCTTGTAGTATGTGGATGTATGTGGTGTGTGATGTTCCTCGCTTCATCTCGCTACAAAAGCCACATCATGGGTTGAACTCAAGGAGAGTCTTTTTTGGTTTGCATACAAAGCGTTTTACAAAGCGTTCGTGCTCGGTTCGTTCAAGAAATCGACCCCAGGTCCGATCGTCTCAGGTCGACTGACTGACTCAGCCCAGGTCCATTCCGTCCGTGTCACCCATCTCGGACCAGGACCTGCTCGGGTGGGATTCGACTTGGCTGGCATTTTAGGCAAGTTGTCCAACTCTACTTCCTACTTTGAGGTCTAGAGGTTCCTTCAGTGCAAGAGTTAACAAGGATCATATTTTATATATAATATATATGGTTATATTATGTTATATTTATACTGGCCTCATCAAACGTAATCCTTAATCCTCAGGGGAATGACGGATTGCAAACTAACTATCGGATTGTCCGGTTCGGGGCGGATTGCGGATTAGAACTCAGAGCCCCCGTTTTGAGATTAGGATTACGGATTAGAGCTTTGGGTTGTTTGGCATGTGCAGATCCTTCCCATTGGTGAAACAACTCCGATCCTGGAGGACCTTCGGCTCCATTACCCCCCGCTGGCGCGATGGTTGTAAGGATCCCTATGACCACAAACACCCTTCACAATCCAGAACCCCCAATTCGGTGGTTTGAGTTGGTTGCTTCATGTTGCTTCGAAGTCAGGATTGCGAGGATCCCTACATAATATGGCCTTATTATAATTCCAAATCAACAGCCCCACATTCAGGAGATTGGACTCTTTCCATCCTACGGCCTCTAAGGATCACGGATTACGAGGCTGGGTAAGGATCCCGGACTACTGCGGACTAAGGATTCTGGGAGAGCTTTTGGTGCAATTTTTACTTTTTTGGTTGGTTTGGACCTGGACTGAGATGTCCTCAGGTGCCAGGACTATGGCTGTGGGTCAAACAAGAAACCGTGCCACTATCATTTTGGGGATCCGGATGCAACCAGACCTTGGAGACTCCACAGCACGAACCCTTCATGCTTCCGGGCTGCCAATGCAGGAATGGTCAAAGAACTGCAACCTACTGATGTGGTACTGCTTAGCAATGCCTACTGGTGGGGATGACGTCAGCATCAGTCCAAACATTGCAAAACGGTGGGAAACCTTCTACTTTGGCTGCTTCAGAGTACTTTTGATCTTCTCTTTCCAATGTTTCCAATGCCATTGGAATTGCCCACCGCCTGCCCCCATTTCTGATCTCCTGTCCCACCAGCCTTCGCCTGATTACGGGAGACACGCTGCCGACTTCGGAACGTTCCGAGCGCCGCACACGGAGAAGAGGGTGATGGGCTGGGCGCCAGCCTCCAACGATCCGAGCGACGCAGTCCAATGATACGAGCCTCCTACTACTACTACTACGACGACGACTACTACCACTACTACCACCACCACCACCACCACCACGACTACTACTACTACTACTACTAGTACTCAGACTCCTACTCCTACTCGATAACTTCGGGGCCCGACTCCAGACTTCAGCCCGAAATGACAACTTCGGGGCCCGACTCCGGACTTCAGGGACCGAAATGAGACAACTTCGGGGCCCGACTTTGGACAACTTCGGGCCCCAACTTCGACGACGACGACGACCTACTATACTGCTACTGCTACTGCTACTGCTACTGCTACTACTGCTACTACTACTACTACTACTACTACTTCTGCTTCTGCTTCTGCTTCTACTTCTTCTTCTACTACTACTAGTACCACTACTTCTAGTACTAGTACTAGTACTAGTAATAGTACTAGCAATAATAGTAACAATAGTAACACTATTAATAACTGCTACTCGACAACTTCGGGGCCAGAGTGACCTCACTCTGAAGAACTGGTCACGTGAGGGTAACTCAAGGTCCAAGGGAAACAGTGTGAGTTAGGTAGTCAGGTGTGAGGTAAGTCAAGCAGGGTCACGCTCGTGCTCATATAGAGGTTCGACGCCGGCAGTGAAGCTACATGAGCCAAATGTTTCGCCGTCCAGATCACAAAAACCCACTAAACCTTTTTCTGTGATGATCTGTAGTGTACTGTGGCGTTTACTCTACTAGATGGATTGAGGCAGTGGTCATCATAAGTCGGGCCCCAATCGCTCTTTCGCACAGTGTTGCATCATGTGCCTGTATGCCCCGCCCTGGCCTGATCGAGTTACCAAAGCCAGCAGTGCAAAAAAGAGAGAGCACTGCTGGATCCGTTGCATTGGGGCGGGAGTGACACCTTTTCACAAATAATTTTCGCCCCTAATTTTCGCCCCTGGCGAAAAGCCCACCAAGGGTTGTTCGGATTACAGACTTCTTTCAGATTAGCAGGATTGCGGAGGATTGCCGATTAGTTGCTGTAGGCGCGCTCACTTTGATGAGGCCAGCGGGATAAATATTTTTTATAATTGTATATATAGAGATAGAGAGGTATCGATAGATAGACAAACAGATAGATGAAGTGTGCCATGTTTTGGGATCCCTGTCAGGCAACACGGGCTCATCAACGCTGAAGCCAGGTGACTCCATTCACTTGATTCTCGCACTTGCTGTAGCAATTTGGCATGTCCAAGTTGTTCTCTGGATCTTGCCTGTCATCGATCTATCCATGAAGTCACACATTCGTCCTGCATTTTGCCCAAAAATGTGAAGTAAAGTGAAACACCCTGTTGCGCCCTGCAGCATGTTTTTGTTCTCATAGGAGATGATTTGGCCGCAGCTTGCTGTCCATTGCCAGCCACTGTCCTGCACTCAGGGGGTTCCAAAAGGTAGAACATGGTGGCAAACCAAGAGAGGGAGTGAACAGAAAGAGCGAGAGAAAGAGAGAGAGAGAGAAGGAAACGCGCGATGTTCTTCCAGAAGTGACGATGACGATGCTTCCTGACCCAAATCACAGCGGGTGTCTTCGTTCAGGCTGCACCTGTTGCTTGCCTTCTCGCGGTTAGATCCTTTGCAGCAACTCTTCATGATGGTTTGCGCTCAGGCAGTTGACGGGTGGGTTCCTTCATTTACGTGGACGGTTTGCGCAGACAGGTGAGTAGAATTTCATCCTCACGTATGTCCCAGACTGAGATCCTCAAAAGGGACGTTTTGGTGTGAATTAATTGAGATTGGAGTTCCGAGTTGACAACAGTATTCTTGGGAGCATCACCAGGTCAAGTCATCTACAAGTCTGTAGGCCTCGGGCATTTGGAGGTGGTCTGTGTCCTGTATCCACAGCGCTGTTAGCGTCACATCCCGTCACCGTTTTGCGCCAGACACGGAGCAGGTCACACCAGACACGGAGCTGCTCACTGCTGGTCTCCGCCTCCCTTGGTGCCGCTTCACTTGCTGGGAAGATGTCCTGAAGAAGACTGGTGGTTGAGTTTCCTGACACTTTGTGTCCTCTCAAGTTTGCTTTTTCATTAAATTTAGCGCCCAAGTACGGAGTCTAAGAATATAAAGGGCTGCAATGGATACTTTTAAATATAGATTCGGTGCTAACCATGTTCTGTTCTTCAACTTCAGCAAAATGTCACCCTCCTTTTCACAGAACTAGTTTTCGCTACGTTCACCCTGATGCAACTCACCTTTAACGGCACCTCCAAAGGCACCGTTTGCTTCAGCAGGTATGACTTGTTCTTTGCCTTGGATGAAGATTGCGACGGTCGTTTAGGCCAGGTGTTTTTGGATGGACCGTTTTCGGATGTTTTTTTGCTTTTGGTAGTTGCATGAAGGCATGCTGATATCCAAGTCGAACAATGCCAAAGTTTGCACGTGTGTGTGTGTGTGTGTCCCTTCTTTCACGCTCTCCCACTAAGTCGCTGCCACCAGTTGAGCTTTCATGGTCGATTGGCTTGAAGCTTTTCACGCCACTGGAACGGAAAGACCAGAAAAGCCTGAAGATGTTCAGTGCTTCGGGGCCAGGGGTTGAGCACTTTGCTTCGGATAGCACCTTTGCGTTGGTTTTGCTAATTGGATATTTATATGTCATGGATTGTTCTGTCCACATACCCGAACCTCAGATTCAGTCTTCCCAGCCCCCGCTCTGACCCCAAGACAGGGCGGAGCTGCAATGTCGGGTCGGCGCTCGCAACAAGGCCTCCTGGAGCTGCAACAAGGTCTCGAGCGTTTGGCGAAGATGGCGCCCCTCCGACAGGCGAAGATGGGAGTTTGTCGCAGGGTGTGGGAGAGCAGGACGGTGCTCTTGGGTTGGGATTTCACCCGACAGACAAAGGAAGGTAAGGAAGGTTGCTGAATTTGAAAGAGGGCGGCATGTGTCCAGTCAGAAATTTAATGTAACCTTGATACATTCGTTTGAGCAGAGTGTAGTGATCCCAAGTTGCAAGGCCACAGGTGTGTTCTTTTTCGGCGTCAGATACCGTATTTAGAATGGTTCAATTGAGCAAGGGTCAATACCTTCAGTGAGAGCACACACCAGAGCCCGCGGATTTGGCAAGCGGCAAGCTCCAACAGGGTGGTTTAACGGAACGTGGACGACAGAACGTGGTAGAAAGCACGGCGTTTTGGCCCCGAACACTTGGAGCCAAATCAATCATGCGAGGGGGGGTGAAAAGCGTCCCCTCTGCTAGTAGCTCGTTTGCTTTTCTCACGGCGTACCCCGTCCCCTAGGGATCCTGAACGTTTCTTTCCAAAGCAAACTCAAGAATCCATAAACATCCGCATTTGTGCCACAGACTCACGGACATGCGGGGAGCTGGGTTCCGGATCAGATCCTGTGGACATTTGATGACATTTGTAGACTAGAGGTTTAGGATGGTTTAGATCAGATCTGGTTTATTTACTCACACCTGTCAATTTGCCCCATGTTGTACCCCCTGAAACTTAGCTCATGCCGATGGTCCAGGAGATCAACATCAAGGAGCTCTTGGAGCGGCTTGATGCCGTGGGGAAGCCCTGTCACGGGGTGGTCGGAGAACTTTGTTCCAGGACACAGAGTGGACGTTTCAGGTGGTAAAATCATGTTCTGGTTTAAACCTCAGCATGAAGAAGACCAGCCAAACAGACTGGTTCATGAATCGATCTAGAATCCAGACCTTTCCGTTCGCATCAGATGTCGTAAGGTCCGCCAGCGAAAAGCTGAGTACACCGAAGCAATCCTTTGAGGCCGCAAGGTCCACAGAAGGTCATCCGGTGGCGGACAGGTCCACCAGGTGCTCGATCCACACACGTCACACGTCGGACCTTTGGACGAGCCAAACCCCCCCAATGCACCCTATTCGGAAGGATGGCCCATCTTCGTTACTCGTTCGGTTTCATCTCATTGGGTGGGTTGGCAATGACAACATCAAACATTGACCACAGCAAGTGGAATTTCTGGGTTGCATCTCCCAATAAACCAGTGATATTCCATTCCCCTTCGGCCACTCCCGGACCAGCCCGCGCAGAAAGCGCGCGCCGCACCGTTCAGGGCCACCACGGCTTCGTGGGTTGGGTCCAATGGACTGCCGTGGCGCTCACCGCAGTGCCCAACCTCGCTACGGAGCCGCTCGGTGTTTGTGGTCATCGATGTGTTTTTTTCGGGGCGTTTGCGGGCCAAGGGTCGGATCCAGATCCTAAAGATCATTAAAGATCCCATGGTTTTGAAGCATATTAGCATATGCATTTATTTAATGTAAAATTTAGATACATGTATATATATATATAGAGTGTTATTTTATACCTTGCTATAGACAGGGTCCAGTGCTGAGATTCGGAGGGATTTGAGACGTCTTCGGACGTTTTCGATGCTGTTTTCCTGAAGATTTTGGTGACGTTTTGAAGGTGGGGATCGAAACTGCTTCGGGGCATCCCATGTTTATGCTGACGTTGCAGGACAAATGCGGAACAGCTTTTGGAGGGTTAGTGAGTTGGTGGTGGCTCCCTTCGGAAAGTGTCCAAGCAGCATGCTAAAGGCTCGCCCTTCACACCTTTCATGTTGTTGGGCTCAAAGATCTGCTGATCTCAAAGCTTGGAACCCCCAAGTCCCTCCATAACTAGGAAAATAGACCTTTCATGACCTTTCAACCCTTGGGGAGAGAAGTCGTTTGATACCTCTATCGTACATGGTCAAAGCACCCCCTGCCAGGCCAGAACCACTTCAGACGGTCTTCAGGACCAAACTGCAGTATTTGTCGATTCATTTGTGCCCACAAGAAGGGCAAGCCTGCCGCACAGACGTGTGACTCAAGAAACAGACTCAGAAACCTGCGGGTGTTCTTCATGTGTTCCATTAACCAATGGCACAATGAGTTTGGATGGATAGTGACATCCTTTGACTGTGTTGGGCAAAACGGTAACGTTTTCGGTGTTCGATCATTTTTTCTGCAGGATGATGGACCGGCCTTCATGTGATGGTATCATTTCTGCCTGAACCTGAGTGTTTTTCAGTGCACCACTTGGATGAATGGCGCAGGACTTGCAGACGTCATCACGTTTGCATCATGGACTGGGGAACATGCAGGAGCTGCTCTTTAAAGCTGCAGGTGAATCAACATGAATCAACCGGTCGTTTACTCATGTAGAGCCTCCTTCTTCTTCAACTGGTCGTTTGGTTTACTCAAAGTCCCGGACGGAACCAACATCACTGACAGGGTTCGCACACTATTTTTGGAGCTATATACCAAGCTGATCCAAGCTGCAGCTTCGCGTTGCTTGTCTTTGCCTCAATGAGTCACAAAGAAACTGGCAATTATTGTCTTGCCATGTCTTGACATTCTTTGAGGCTCTTGATTTGATGGCCTTGCTCAATGATGGCACAGGTGGGGGACACTTCCATGTCGAGTGTCGATGAGTGTCGATGAGTGTCGATGTCGGGCGTTTCTGTTCAGATGCCGCTGAAGCATGGACTGTAGGCTCCAAAGAACAAGAGGTCTAGGGCCAGGCATATATAATTATATATATATATTTACTTACAGATTTCTGCTTGATTTGCATGGTCTTTGGTCCTCAGATAACGGAACCAACAACTGGGAAAAGTGTTGCACGGGACTTTGTGTCAACATGATATGAGATGCCCAAAGATTCTTAGATGAGCGCTAGGGAGAAACCCTTTCGTCTTCTCTACGACACCAACTCCCCACGGAGCTTGTTCGATCCTTCCGGTTGACCGGCAGGGCCCCTTTCCCTTCGCCAGGCCGTGCAGCTGCAGGACTCCACGAGGAGGTGAGGAAGCAGCGAAGTTCGTTCGTGACCGTTTTCGTGAGGCCGTGGTGATCGTAGACCTACCCACTACAACGTAGCCCTCTACGATAAAGTAAGATGATATGTCATCTGAATACATCATAGCCTATATACCTGACACGCCACCAATAAATGGATATTCTTCTATAGGAACTGTTGTTATTTTTCTTAAGGAATGGGTTTTAATATTCATTGGTTGGTTCTGGCAGTAGGCTTTTTGCTTTTAAGCCCTTTGGCTCCATAGCTTCTTGGCTTCTTGCTTTTGGCTTGTTGGCTTTTGGCTCGTTGTTGAAGTCACCAGTTTCCTTACGTTTCCTAGACCCTGTCCTTTTCCAAGTGGCCGGATTGTCCATCTATGCTGCTTGCAATGGCCAGTGTCCTGTGGAAATCGAGGAAGAGAGGGAGGGAGGCAGGGAGGGAGGGAGGGAGGGAGGTAAGGAAGGAAGGAAGCAAGCAAGGAGTTCATATTTGTTTTGGATTTGTTTTACTTTATTTTAGGATTGTTGGCTTTTGGTGGCTCTTCGTGGCTTTGATTGGCTTTTGGTGGCTTTGGCTATTGGCTTTGGTGGCATTGACTTTCGGCTTCGGTGGCTTTTGGCTGGATTTCGTTGGCTTTTGGCTTCCGGTTGCTGTTGTTGGCTGGCTTTTGGCTTGTGGTGGCTTTTGGTGGCGTGCGTTGGCTTTTCGTGGCTTCGGTTGGCTTCTGTTGGCTTTTCGCGGCTTGATTCACTGATATGGGGATATATGTTAGTGGTTAATTCTTTTTTGTTGTATACATTTTCTTTTTTGGGCCTAGCTGTGGGAAGGAAAGAAGGAAGGAAGAAAGGATTGTATATTTATTTTGGAATTAGCTTGTTCCCCACATTGACGCGCGGTTTTTTGTTTTTAGTGTGGTATCCGCTCCCTCCCGCTTGCCATCAACCAATTGCCACCAACAAACTGCCACCAACCAATTGCCACGGATGTACGCCCTGGTGCTCCTGCGTCGCCGCAACCTCGAAGTGGAGATTTCGTGGCAGCCACAGCGCTTGGTGAACCTCAAAGTGCAGATTTCGTGGCAGCCACAGCACTTGGTGAACCTCGAAGTGCAGATCTCGCGGCAGGCGCAGTACTTTGTGAACCTCGAAGTGCAGATGCTCACTCTCTCACTCTCTCACGATCACTCTCACCCTCACTCTCACTCACACACGCTCACACTCGCACTCACTCTTCACTCACATTCACACTCACACTCCCTCACACTCACATTCAACACTCACTCACACTCACTCACACTCACACACTCACACTCACTCACTCTCACCCACACTCACTCTCAACCACGCTCACTCTCACTTCTCTCGCTCATTCTCTTTAAGTGTTTCTTTCTCTCTCTTTCTCTTTGCGCAGCGCGCTCTGAACGTGCCTTTCTCGAGCGTAACCGCGCCGTCCATATTATACCACGCGAGCGCGCGCCTTGCTCACTCTCACTCACTCTCACACCCACTCTCCCACTCTCACTCTCACCCACTCACTCTCACTCACACTCGCATTCACACTCACTCTCACTCACACTC